ACACACACACACACACACACACACACACAAAATACACACCCTCAGCTTTTCACTAGCAGGTTTTGTTTTAGCTGAATTGCTCCCTCTCTCTCTCTCTTTCTTCTCCTTTGTTGTTTTCATTCACTTTTTTTTGTCTTTGCTGTTTGGTGCTTATTAATTTGCCCTCACCCCTTCCTGCCTCCCTCTCTCTCTTTATCTGTTTTCTCCGTATCTCCTCCCTCTCGGCTCCGAGCAGAGATTGGATGTTGGGATAGGATTTGCCTGCCCTCAGGCCTGAAAAGAGGATTGTCTCGCTGAATGTTTGGAAACAGATCTGTTCCAGTAACCTGTAAAAGCAGTAGCCTTTGACAACACACACACGCACTTGTGTTTCTATCAGTTTGTTCTTTCGGTCTGATAGCAAAAACTGTAGCAGTGTCATATCTGACCTCATTTTGGATTCCGGAAAGTTTTGGTTATTCTCGGATGTTGTGATGTTTTGAAGGAAGCAGAATGTTCAAATATCTAAAGCAACAGTATGGTTTTAAACCTCTAACCATAGGGATGAAATCTTACATACTTAGGCTACTCCGTTTTGAATGATTCCTCAAATTATACAGCCTTTTGAGAAAAGGTGTGCTATTACTATCACTACTAAACTGTTAGACATTGCACTAAAATAACACACAGAACAACACCTTAGTAACTGCATAGCAATACCTTGGTAAGCATCCACTACATCCTTGGTTCACAGAGGATTATTCCCGGGGCAATCGTCACTGTTTTCTTCAGAAAATGTTGAAATCTAGTTGTACGGTAGTTCTGCTGTTATCTGGCACAATGGGCTAACATACACTACCGATCAAATATAATACTTTTATTCAGCAAGGATGCATTAACTTACTCAAAAGTGATTGTGAAGACATTTACAGTGTAACAAAAGATTTCTATTTCAAATGAATGCTGCTTTTTAACTTTGTATTCATCAAAGAATCCTCAAAAGAAATTGTATTATGCTTACAACTGTTGTCAGCATTTATAATCAGAAATGTCTTGAGCAGCCAATCAGCATATTAGAATGATTTCTGAAGGATCACGTGACACTGAAGACTGGAGTAATGATGCTGAAAATTCAGCTTTGCATCAAATAAATAAATTACATTTGAAAATATATTCAAATAAAAACAGTTACTTTAAATAGTAATAAGTTACTGTTTTTATTTATTTTATTTTATTAATTTAATTTTAATCAAATAAATCCAGCTTTGGTGAGCATAAGAGTCTTATATAAGAGTCAAAATACCCTACCAACCCCAAACGTTTGAACTGTAGTGTAAAGAAAATGTAACTAGATGACTAGTAGACTACTTATCTTCAATCAAAAAAGCAGAGGATTTCAAAAAACACTTTAAAAGACGGTAAAGACCCCTGAAGATAACCAATGCTTTTAAGAATCCTGTGAAATTAGGTTAAATGATGGTGGTGCATGAGTGACATTGTGTTTCATTGTGAGACTGACATTTTACATGATTTGTGTCTGTTTGGTATTTTTGGTGCACAGGTTGGGACGAGGTTTGGGATCAAAAGGTGACTATGAGTGTAGAGCTGAAATCATAGAACTAAAACTGTAGACACTTGCAAGATCAACATCGTAGAGCGCACTAATAGATGGCTACTGTGTGCTACCAGTACACATGAATCGAGCTGGTGTAGAAGGACATTTAGATCAATGGCAGTGCATAACAGCATGGCACGGGGTTGCTAGAGATGGTTATAGAATTAGGATGGAGATAATCTGGTCTAGTGGGATTAGATCAAATTCATGATGTTGCTGATTTTTTATTGATTGTTAAGTGAATAATTTAGACCCTCCAGATTTCCAGAATTATGATCAAGTATGGTTCACAAGTCAATATAGTAGTTCTGTAACTTTCATTTTCATTAAGTTTTTATTTAATTTAAATTATATCTGTCTACTATGACTGCACGTTTTGCCGTTTTTCCAGTATAAGTCTTTTAGTTTTAATCCTGATTTTTTTCAGCAATTTGTTTCCTTGTCAGGTATGCTGATTGATTTTATTGTGCTCAACAAACATAGTTTTGAGTAACAGACATCAAACGATTTAATTTTTTGTTGTACAAAAACATTGCAGATTAAGCAGTTTTAAAAATATATCTAATTAATTGGAAGCATCTGTACTGAAACAATTAGAATTTCATTGCTTTCAAATGCATTGATTGTTTTTTTTGTTTGTTTTTTTTTGCTTTAAATTTGCAGGATAATTTTGCAATTTTTGGTATCATTGATATTAAATTCTAATCTTAACAAAAGCAAACTTCTTTAAACAGTGTTTTTATGGGTCTTAAAAGGCCTTAGTTCACCATTTCACAAATTAAGGCCTTAAAAGGTCTTAAATTGGAGCAGAAAGTCTTAAATGTATAATATCATGGCATTAAATGTTGCATGCAGTGCAAAAAATGAACATCCTCCTCAGTGCTTTTGTCTGGTTTTTAAATACAAATATCTAAACATCATTAAATCAAGAAACATTTCCTAGAGATGCAAACTGAACATATGAAGTTCATATAAATTTTTTGTCAAATTAATTAAAAAGTAATGGAGATTGTATTTCCAAACTTTAAAGTGTTGCTAATACAACCTTTTTGAGAACATATTGATGTATTGTGTTCCCTGCAATTTATTACTAAATTTTCTTTACTTGGTCCTAACAAGTCTTAACTATACCTTCATAAAACCTGCAGAAACCCTATTTAGAAATAATTAGTTTAATGCATTTATTTGACAAAATAGATATTTTTAAAACATGCACAAATAAAAGCTTTAAGCATAAACTGTAAATATGTTTTTATTTCTCACATGACTTGCAATGGTCAGATGATTCAGATGGTGGGAATTTGATGTAATTCCTCTTGAAATATTTCAGAGGATTTGACTGTTGTAGCTCTCATTTTCTGCCAGGGTGACTTTTTGTGAATATTGTTTAAGTACAACATTAAGTTGAAATATCAGCTGCATTAAATGATGGTTAAGCAATAAAGGAAGGGTATAAATTAAATATAGTAACTTACATATTCATTGTGTGGATTTCATAAAGGGGTCATATGATGCGATTTCAATTTTTCCTTTCTCTTTGGAGTGTTACAAGCTCTTGGTGCATAAAGAAGATCTGTAAAGTTGCAAAGACTAAAGTCTCAAATCCAAAGAGATATTCTTTATAAAAGTTAAGAGTCAACCACACCTACCTAAAACGGCTCATTCTAACACACCCCCACATATCTACATCACTATGTGGGAAGATTTGCATAACGCCGCCCAAATGTTCACGCAAACAAAGAGGGCGTAACTTTTATTCTCAATGTAGTATTGTTGTTGCCGCCGCCGCCATGTCATGAAGGCGCTCGTTGTGAAAGCGAAACTACTTTGTTTGGTCTTCCAAAAGAG